AAGATTCTTAGCTGAGCTGTTTCTAATTTAAACACTGCAATTACCGGCACTGTAGAATCAATGATAGAATCAGAATTGATGAATATACAACATGATATGTTATTTTATTTAAAATATTTCTTCTGGACACACAAGTGGCCAACAAACATATGAAAAAGTTGCTCAACATTACGAATCATCGGAGAAATGCAAATCAAAACCTCAATGAGATACCATCTCACACCAGTCAAAAAGGCTATTATTTAAAAGTAAAAAATTAATGGATGTTGGTAAACTTGAGAAGAAAAGGGAATGCTTACACACTGTGGGTGGGAATGTTAATTAGTTCAGCTACTGTGGAAAACAGTTTAGAAATTTCTCAGAGTGAGGCAGGGCAGGCGAGCCCCAAAACTGAGGCTTAGCCTGGGAGGGTTCTTAGCTTCACCCAGGAAAGAATTCAAGGGTGAGCCTGCAGTGTTAGACAGCAGCTTTTATTGAAGCAGCAGTGTTCAGCAGCAGTGGGTGTACTGCTCCTTGCAGAGCAAGGCTACTGTATAGGCAGTGTGCCCAGAGTAGCAGCTCAGAGGTAGCTCTACAGTTACATTTATACCCAATTTTAATTATATGCAAATTAAGGGGTAGTTTATGCAGAAAGTTTTAGGAAAAGAGTGGTAATTCCAGGTTGTCAGGTTGTTGCCATGGGAAAGGGTGGTAACTTTCAGGGGTTGCAATGGCAATGGTAAACTGACATGGCACACTGGTGGGTGTGTCTTCTGGAAAGCTGTCTCCACCCAGGCCCTGTTCTGGCTAGTCCTAAATTTGGTTCAGTGTTCAAGCCCCACCTCTGGAGTCGAGTCCCACCTCCTGCCTCAAAAAAACCAAAAACAGAATTACCATTTGACCCAGCAATTCCATTCCTGGGTATATACCCAAAAGAAAATAAATTGTTCTGTCAAAAAGACACCTAGACTTGTATGTTCGTCACAGCACTCTTCACAATAGCAAAGACATGGACTCAACCTAGGTGCCCAGCAATGGTGGATTGGATAAAGAAAATCGGTACACTGGCATCATAAAATACTATGCAGTCACACACACACACAAAGAACAAAATCGTGTCCTTTAGCAGCAACATAGATGCAGATGGAGGCCATTATCCTAAGTGAATTAACGCAGGAACAGAAAACCAAATTCCACATGTTCTCACTTACAAGTGGAAGCTAATAAGTGGGGGTATTGGTTACACCCAGACATAAGATGAGAATAATAGACACTGCACCAGGGACTCCAAAAGGGGAGAGGAAGGGAGGGGGACACAGGTTGAAAAATGACCTATCAGGTACTATATTCACTATTTGGGTGACAGGATACCTCAGCATCATGCAATATACTCATGCAATAAACCTGGACATGTACCCCTTGAATCTAAAATTAAAGATTAAAAAAATACTTCTTCTGCATTTTCCTTAATGTTTATACAAAATGTATCATGAAAAACAGATTTCTATTTTTATATTTACTGTTGCTAAACAAATACTTTAGTTAAGCATTTCCAAATTCATCATAATAAAGTAGAAAGGATTTTAAATAGAATAGATACGAATTCTAACAACTCTGATTACTATCTCTGTGACCTCAGACAAGTTACCTAACCTCTCTGCGGCTGGAATTTCTTTTCTCCAAAACAAAAATAGCACATTTTACTTCCTAGGGTTAGTATAAAGGTTTTTAAAAAATATATTATGTAGGGGGAAAGGGAGATTATGTCATGTGCCTGGTCCTCAAAAAAGATTAGTTATACGACTCCTTCCTAAGAAAAATGCTATTAGCAGGCTGAAAGTCCTCAGTTTAAACCAAAAGTTGACCACTTGAACAAAAATATTTAAAACAATGCACATTATTAAGATATTGCTATAAAGTTCATAAAACTAAGAAATGTTATACTATGTAAAAACATAACACATTAACCTATTCAAATGAAAGTATTTTCTCCTAGTTGTAAAAATAAACACTTAAAATACAATTCTAGAGTCAATTGTGAGAGATTTCTAAGGTACTATGAAGGCCTCTGCTTTTCTTAATTAGCAAAGGAATGAGAGTGGTAGGGAACACATCTATTTTGTGTATTGCTGCGTATCTAGCAGTTCAGCAGAGTGCCTGGTCATAGTAGGTGCTAAATGAATATTTCTAGAGTGGGTGTATAGAAAGCATACAAATTTTTGAATCAGAGAGATTTGGTTTGAATCACTGCCATATAGTGGAATAATATTAATAATATCTACCTCTAAGGGTTATTAAGAGGATTGAAATAAGTATGAAAAGCACCTGACACATGTATTAAGATATATTTCCCTTGGGAGGCTGAGACAGGTGGATCACCTGAGGTCAGGAGTTCAAGACCAGCCTGGCCAACATGGTGAAACCCCGTTTCTACTAAAAATACAAAATTAGCCCGGTGTGGTGGTGTATGCCTGTGATCCCAGCTACTCGGGAGGCTGAGGCAGGAGAATTGCTTGAATCCCGAAGGCAGAGGTTGCAGTGAGCCGAGATCGTGCCACTGCACTCCAGCTTGGGCAACAAGAGCAAAACTTCATCTAAAAAAAAAAAAAACAAAAAAAACAAAAAACATATATTTCCCTTAGTGCTGTTCATACTTTTGCTAGTTTCATAATATCACATGTTAAGGTCAAATGAAAATAGTACTCCAAATGACCAGACTAGTAAATTGCCACATGTATTCTACCTGTATAGAAAGAGACCATATATGTAGTAAAATCATACTTAATAAATCTTTGGCTGCTATAGCATCAGGGCAGCCAAATTGTTCAGGAAAAGCAATTCCTGCTTCAAGGCTGTTTAAAGAAGGCTGCATTACTTGTTCAGTTTTCCTGCACGTGCCTTTCGGTTGCCTTTTTAGCTAGTGACCCTGGATTTTAGCTAATGAACTCCAGCTGTTCTTATTTTGCCTTCCAGCCCTTCTCATTTAACCTCCTGTCTCCCTGGTCTCACATCCTTAAAGTTCTTACAGGAAAAATGGGACAGTGCCAAAGTTTCCAAATGAAGCCTCATATCTTCTTGAGGGGAGAGGGCTCTTTTAACAAGGGCTCCAAGCTTTTATAGTGGTGTAAAAAGAAACATTCATTGTTGGAAATTGGATTCCTAACAACCTCCAATGTGTCAGAAATCCTCTTGTGGTTTTTAATATTACACAAGCAAAGCATTCGGTAAGGTAAGTCCATAAAACAAACCAAGAAAGTCCACAGTTGACTACTAAATGTAATTGTAAACACCTGTGATGGAGAGGCAATTCCTCCGTAAATATGCAATGAAAGAAACATTTAGCATACAGAACAAAACGGATCCAGCTTTTCTGAACCATGCTGAGAACCATCTGTTAGCAAACCTGGCAAAAGGTTTCACTGTTACAGTTAAATGTCAACCTGAAAAACTTGGCTGTGGGCAATATCTAAGCAAAGCCAATCTTCAGCAATTGACAAACTCAAGCTCACAAAGGAGACCTTCCTCTTATGCAGGTGACCTGGGAATTTCTATTACGTTCACAAATACCCTTTAACCTACCCATACATCTCTTTCCAAATCTGATCATCCTTTCATGGAGACCATTAATAAGTACATTAGTTAATGCAGTTTCCATTACATTAAACATTTAAAACCATGCCTTCTCCCAGAATGCACCTGATCCTACCAGGATGAATCTCTGGCTAAACCAATAGCCCATTTGGCCCTCCAATTAAATTCAAAATGATGTATTTCCCAGGGGCTCTGAAAGACTTTTGAAAAGGATATCAAATTCAGTTATAAACTCATTTTCCAAATTGCTTTTTCCATGCCTGTTTGCATAACCCATCCTTACAAGCTCATTTCAAAATCTACTGACTCCATCAGTCACACTGAGACTAACTTGTTCTCTAAAATCTTAGTTTATGTCTTTTATACACTTGTGACTTGAATCATGTGCTCCGTTAAGACTACAAATGACAGAACGAAGATATGGGTTTCTCTTCTCATCCTTCACAGCATCCAGCAGCATAATCTGCATATAGCATGTGCTTAGTAAAGAACAGAAAATAAGTAGTTAAAAGTGGGAGAAAATAAGGCCAGGGAAGTGCCATTTCTCTGGGATTTTGCTGAAATGCACAGCAATCCTATCATCATCTTATTTCAAATGGCTCATGCAATAAAGGTTGATAAATTATATTTTTAATGATTCATTTCACTATGTTGGCTTTATATTTTATATTATAAAGTATTAGTTATCTTGATGGTAAATAAGACATTACCCAGGAAAAGAAGAATGGAATAATAATGGTCAACATTTGTTGAACTCTGAAAAATGGACTCTGTGATAAATGCTTTATATACATATTCTTGTTGAATCCTCATAACAACTCCATGAAATAGGTACTATTATTATCCTCTTTCTGCAATAAACTGAGTCATAAATAGTTAAAGTAATCTACCCAACATCATACCACTAGTGATTGGTGGACCTATGCTTCAAACCCAAGTCCATTTGACACCAGGTTCCTCACCGATTTGCTATACTGCCCAGGGCACAGACAAAATACAGGCAGAACACTAAAAATGCATACCTTCTGGAAAATCTCCAGGTGCTAGCTAACAACATGTTATGTTCAGGCAAATTTCCCAGTAAGAATTTGTGTGATTATATATTTTCTCTTTTATAGGAATTTTCTGAGGTTATATAGGTATAGCCTTAGCACCTAGCATGAGGCCAAACACATGGAAAGTATTAGTAATTGCTCAGTGAATTCATAGTTTCGGTCAAGTGATATAATAGTTTTAAATCTCAATTTCCTCAAAATTAAGTAATAAAATAGCAGTGTAAATGCTCTTGAAAAACTTGTATGAAAAATAAAAATGTAATTATAGTATTCCAGAAGAATCAAAACTAGATGCTGAATGGATCAATGCAATAAATTTTTTACCAAATCAAGGAGTCAAAACAGATCTGTTGGGTCCATTTCTGCTGTTCTTACCTTCTCGGATAGCTGTAAATGGGACTCCTTCTTCTGCATTCATGCTGATGACTTTTAAAGCCACTAGTTGTCCATTTATTCTAGAAAAGAGGGATTGAGGGGCACACACTTATTGAGGTGGTTCTAAGCAGCAATTTATACCAAAGATCAAACAAAAGCAGTTTCACTTCAAAACATATTGTAGCATATAAATCTATAATTTTCTCAAAATAAAAAGTTTAGCATATATCAATACATATATAACGTATATATTCCAAAGCATTTTCCCTCTTTACTAAAGTGATACATATATGTCCGTTATAGAAAATTTGGAGCTTATTATTTTTCATCTGACTTATTGTAGTGTTTTGTTTTTTGTTTGTTTGTTTGTTTTTGAGACAGAGTCTTGCTCTGTTGCCCAGGCTGAAGTGCAGTGGCACGATCTCGGCTCACTGCAACCTCCACCTCCCGGGTTCAAGCAATTCTCCTGCCTCAGCCTCCCAAGTAGCTGGGATTACAGCCACCATGCCTGGCTAATTTTTGTATTTTTAGCAGAGATGGGGTTTCGCCATGTTGGCCAGGCTGGTCTCAAACTCCTGACCTCAGGTGATCCGCCCACCTCAGGCTCCCAAAGAGCTGGGATTACAGGCACGAGTCACCATGCCCAGCCTTGTAGTGGTCTTCTGACAGTTTCCCTGCTGAGACACTTGCACTCCCACTATTTATTCTCAGCAGAGTAGTTGGAGGCATGCTTTTAAAATGACCATCAGGACAAGTCACTTTCCTGTTCAAAAACCACCATATCTCCATGCATTACTCAGAATAAAAGCCAAATTCTTACAGCGGGCTTCTAGGTGCTACCTGATCTTCCCAGGTCACACCACTAGCTCTCTCTCTCTCTTCATTTCCTCCTACTGTCCCTTCATTTGTCATTTTATTCATTTCTCAGCTAAGTGCCTAGAATAGAGAAGATTTTAATGCAGGTATAAATCCATTGTTTTTAATACAGTGGGATTAAAATCATATTGTTAGTAACCTTTTTTCCTCCATGTAACTTTTCTCTTATAGTTAATTCTTGTATGATCCAATATTTAATAATGATTTAACATTTAATCATATAAATATACTATACCGTATTTAGCCAATTTCAAAAGCCTTTTCGTTGTTTCTAGCTTTGGGCTATTACAAAAATACTGTGATGATCATACTTGTTGACAAATCTTTTCAGAAAACCCCAGTTATTTCCTTAAAGTGGTGGCAGCATTGCTGATTCAAAGGGTACGCAATGCACGTGTTTTTATTGATTTGCACTCGTGTTCCCAAACTGTCCCATGGAGTAATGGTACACTAACTGGTCATGAGAATGGCCATTCTCCCATTCCCTCACCAACATGGGGCAGGTTTTGTTTTGGGGGCTTTTGGACTTTACTTTTTAGAACAGTCTTAGATTTATAGAAAAATTGAGAATGCAGTACAGAAAGTTCCCACATATCTCCCATCTAGTTTCCTCTATTGTTAATATCTTACATTAATATGATATGTTTGTTATAATTAATGAACAAATATTGGCACATTATTACTAACTAAAGTCCATAGTTTATTAGGATTTCTTTAGTTTTTACCTAATGCCTTTTTTGTTTTTGGTCCAGGATCTCATTCAGGATTACATTTAGCTGTCCTGTCTCCTTAGGCTCCTCTTGACTGTGACAGTTTCCCAGATTTTCTTTGTTTCTGATGACCTTGAGAGTTTTGAGGAGTACTAGTTAAGTATTGGGTAGGATACCCATCTCTTGGAACTTTTCTGATATTTCTCTTATGATTAGACTGGGTTATGGGTTTGGGGGAGGTAAAGTACCATTTTTATCACATCATATTAAGAGTGCATACCATCAGCCAGGCGTGGTGGCTCACGCCTGTAATCCTAACACTTTGGGGGGCTGAGGTGGGTGGATCGCCTGAGCTCAGGAGTTTAAGACCAGCCTGGGCAACATGGTGAAACCCCGTCTCTACTAAAAATACAAAAAACTAGCCAGGTGTGGTGGCATGCGCCTGTAATCCCAGCTACTCAGGAGGCTGAGAGAGGAGAATCACTTGAACCTGGGAGGTGGAGGTTGCAGTGAGCTGAGATCACACCACTGCACTCCAGTCTAGGCAACAGAGCAAGACTCCATCTGAAAAAAAAAAAGTGCATACCATCATCATGATTTATGACTTTTGATGTTGACCTTAATCACCTGTCTGAGACAGTGTTGGTCAGGTTTCTCTACTATAAAGTTACTCTTTCTCTCCCTTTTTCATACTGTACTTTTAGAGAAATGCCACTATGAATGACCCACACTTAAGGAGTGGAGAGTTTTGCTGTACCTCTTTGAAGGTATATTATCTACATAAATTATTTGTATTTATTTGGCATGAAAGATTTGTTTCTTCTCTCCCATTTGTTAATGTATTGAATAATTTATTTATATCAGTATGAACTCATAGATATTTATTTTATACTTTGGGTTATAATTTAACACCACTTTTTTTGGTTGCTCAAATTTTTGCAGCTTTGTCCTTTGGAAGCTCTTTCAGTTGGCTCCTGTGTCCCTCTGAGATAGCCCTATCATGTGGGTTTGCTTTTTGCTTTCATCTTCATTTTTTTGGCCTATTTGAAAGGTAAAAAGGTTTATCACATTTCAATTTACATTTCCTTAACCATATGTGAAACTGACTTTTCATACGTTTATGGATCTTTTCTGTTTTTCTTGTGATTTGCTGATTTGCCCCCCTTTTTATTGAACTATTTTGCACATACTTTTCCCCAGTTTCTTTTGTTTGCCTTATCATGTCTTTTAAATTTTGTTTAAAAGTTTTATGATGTATTTTCCTCAGAACATGGTTCCGTGAAATTCTCCCCTAAACCTTGCAAAAAGTTTTTTGGCAAGGTTCGTGTGCAGTGGTGTCGATCTCAGCTCACCGCAACTTCCACCTGCAAAGTTCAAGTGATTCTCCTGCCTCAGCCTCCTGAGTAGCTGGGACTACAGTTTTATAAATAAGGTAACAGTTGAACCCGGAATCTGACGGAGGGGAGGAGTCAGCTGTGTGCATGAACAGTGGAAGGCAGCTCCAGGCAGAGGGAGCAGCAAGTTAAAAGTCCTTGACTGAGGCAGGAGCAGTCCTGGCATTGGAGCAGGAGAGGCGAAGGAGAGATGAGGACAGAGAGCAGCTGAGTGTGTGCTGGGGAATGAAGGGTAGGGATTGTATAGGGTCTTGTAAATGACCATTCCAGGGACTGTTTTGTATTAGATATTTACAGGATATTTGTATTAGAAAATCTAATAGAGCAAAGATGTCAATAATTCTCTAATTTAGAGTTTTGATATATTCTAAAAATAGTCTAAAGCAACAATAATTAAAATCAAGGCTGGGTGCGGTGACTTATGCCTGTAATCCCAGCACTTTGGGAGGCTGAGGTGGGCGGATCACTAGGTCAGGAGATTGAGACCATCCTGGCTAACACGGTAAAACCCTGCCTCTACTAAAAAACTACAAAAAATTAGCCGGGCGTGGTGGCGGGCACCTGTAGTCCCTAGTCCCAGCTACTAGGGAGGCTGAGTCAGGAGAATGGCGTGAACCTGTGAGGCAGAGCTTGCAGTGGAGCTTGCAGTGAGCCGAGACGGCGCCACTGCACTCCAGCCTGGGCAACAAAGCGAGACTCCATCTCAAAAAAAAAAAAATGGCAGCACAAATATAAGAAAAGATAGATTAAGGAAACATGATTTTTTAAAAAGATTAGAACAGAAACAATTTCAAGTAGTCATGAGATCTAATATGTAATCACGGCAGCATTTCAACCATCAGAGAAAAGAAAATCTAGTAAATGGAGCTGGGATGATTGTGAATAAATTCCCAATATATAAAAGAGTTAAATGAAAAAGAAAACATACAGTAACTAGAAGAAAAGATGAGTGAATTCTGTGTAAACTTTGGGCTAGAAAGGTCTGTTTGTGTGGGACAAAGTCAGAACTCAGAAGGGAAGATCAGAAGTGTTCATGGTACCCATGTATCCAAGTATGTTCCAGGGTGCCCCAGATCTGAGCCATCTTGAAACAGTTACCATGGCCAAACTGATATGAGGAACCTTAAAATAAAATCAAATGTGGTCTTTTATTGCAGATATTCTCAGCATTAAAAAAAGTTAATATACGCCATGACTAAAACAGATTAAGAAAGTATAAAGGGCCAGGGCAGGAGAATCGCTTGAACCCAGGAGGTGGAGGTTGCAGTGATCTGAGATCGTGCCACTGCACTCCCTGAGTGACAGAGTGAGATTCCATTTCAAAATAAATAAATAGATAAATAATAAAATAAAATAAAATTGTATGTCCCCTACAATCTTGTTTTAACAAGTAAAAATAATAATAACAGCATAAATACTAAGATAAATAATGAATATTTAGTCTCGTAGTAGTTATATAAAATTTTTCTTTTTTCTTTTTTTTGTTTTTGGCCAGTTAAATGAAGCAGTGGGAGTGGAGAAGGAACAAAGAAATCTGTAGCTGGTTGTGATCAAGTAGTAAATACCACTGCACTTGGATCAGCTATATTTTTAAAATTAATATTTAACCACTATGGAGCCATTATTTTTATCTATTGGAGTAACATAAAGAAAAAACGACCTTCCAACTTTCCCACCTTGACTAAAAGACAAGGGAATTCATGGATCTTTTATATATATTTAACAAAGTTTGTTGTTTACCAAAATTAGTACTTAGCTTTTGGATAAGCAGTATTTTTATTCTCCAGACATTTTGTATATTTTGCAAGTATAAAAAATCTAGGATTCATCATCTTTTGCATGTACCATAATTTGCAGAAACCAACTCCAATTTCTTCTATAAAGGCCAGGTGGAGGAATGAAGCAGCAAACTCCAGGTTGCCATTACAAACCTCTGTCATTGTGATTTAGGGAGGGATATAAAAAACCTGTTAGAGACGCTTTACCAACTGTGCCTCCCACCGGCCTGAAGAGTGGTAATTGTTCTTTGGGTCAGTAGTAGAGAATGTCTATTTTCTTTGAATTCTCTGAATTGAATGCAAGAAGGGAAAGGCTGATAAACATTTAAGTGGCCTGATTTTAATTAGGGCAGGGCAGGTTTGTTTTTCTTTCAAGGCTGTTTAAGTCATCATGTCTCTCTCCCTGTCGGCCATGGTGTCTTGCCCAGGTCCTGAGTGCTATGAACCTCTATGATGTCTCACCTGGCTTTATAATGTGAATTAAGGGGGCAGGACCCTTATCTCTAAAGTGTATCCCAGCTATGTGTCACTCACCTGCTAATCCCCTTGTAAACTGTAGCATAAGAGCCTTCACCCAGCTTCTCCAAGTTCAAGTAAGATGAGGCTGCTCCAAATGGGAGGCTCTTCCTCTGCTTTAGGGGAATGGGGAAAAGGAGTGGGTGAAAGGGAAGAGAGAAAGAGCACTTTTTTTTAGTGTTGATTTTTTTCTCCAGGGAAATTAGACAGCATTTCCAGAGCAGACTTGGGAAGGCTCGCTCAGTAATTGCCCTGGACATAAGGGCCGGCCTCCCTAGACAAGCACACATTAAATTCTTCTTGATCAACATCAGCTGCTCACTCACCCACTGAAAACTCTGCCTCAGATCCTCTTCCTGAAAAGAATCACTGTTACTCCGTGGCCTTTTACTCTTGAACTTCTGGGCACGGACATCCTGACGTCTCCTGGGGTGAAATGAAGTCATGGAACATGATGCTTCTTTTAGGTCTGTTAGCTAGAGAAAAAAGAAAGAGCAGAAATAAAATTTATGCAAAGTAAAGATTCAGTGCCTGGTAAAACAATTTTTTCTTTATTTGCCTCATTTTCACTCTTCACATGTTTTCTAAGCTTCCTGTACCCCCAAAAGGCACTTTTCTTGAAAGATCCCCAAAAAAGACCACAATGGTATCAACTCCTGAAATACTACATTCTTTCTTCACCTAAAAATATGTCTTTAACATTTAGGTTAACCTAAATCTCTTTGATGGATGTTTTCCAACTTTTTTCTGTTTAACTCTGGCTTTTTTTTTTTTTTTTCCTGTCCACTTAATTTATTGCTGTGGGGGAATAATCTACTACTGCATTGCTAATAATCATGAACTAATCACTAAAGTTTCGAATCCATAGCATATCAACTAATACTGCAGCTTGCCTTTTAAATCTCAGCACTGTAATTTAGGACCTTAGAGATTTCGAGAGAACTACTTCAAGCCAAGTGAGTTTCGTGCAACCCAAAGCCAAGGATTATTTTTCCCTTTTGGTTTACAAGAAATTCTCCAAATTTGATAACTACAGCCATAAATTTTCTGTGACTTTAATAGAATTTTCATTTTATTGGTTTAGACCTACCGCAGAAGAATCAGACCCTGCTACAAAAAGGGAGTGTCTGAACTCCTTGGTTTATCAATAGAGAAAGATGCTCTCCTCCTGGGATACAAATACCTTGAACGCAGCCTCCATGGTCTCAGGCTGACTCCTCCGACAGCTGTGTGCCTCGCCTCCCTCTGAACAACGATAGCAGCTGCATCCAGGCTGTACAGTCTTTGCACACAGCTCTTGACCCATAATCTTCTAGGTTCAAGGAGAAAACCCGCACTTGAACCTTTCCCCCACTGCCTCTCCTATCCTTGTTCTCTCCCTTTTTGCCAGAGGTCAGCAGTGTGGAGCTTTCATATGACTCACATGATGACTCTGCCTGGAGCAGCCTCACAACTTCAGCAGTTTTTCCTTATCAGTGCAAGAAACTCCACATCAGACAGGGATTGCTTGCATTCAGATGTGCACAACTGAAAACGAGGCAGCTGCTATTGAATAGAATAAAATTTGGCACAGTTAAGGTTCTTGTTCTGGCCACAAGTTAGTGCTATTGGTATACATAGTTTTTAGGGATTGACATTGCTCATCAATGTAATGATATTTATATGATATCATTGATAGTGATATTGATATTAGGTTTTCCTGGTGCTAAAGTGGACATGTTGAAGACTATTTTTCTCCCTGCCTTTTATCTGAAAGCATTTTGGTTTTCAGACTTTAAAACAAATTTTCTACCTAGCTAACTTTTAGTAGTCATAGAAACCACAGAATCATAAGACAGGAAAAAAGTTGAAGATATCTACTCTATCTCTTTGCCTTCAAACAACAGTGTATCCAATAGTCTTAGAAGGGTTGCCATTCATTCATTTATTCAAAAACTATGTGGTGAGTGCCTGTGTTGTTCTTAACTATACAAATGATGATATTAGCCAATGGTGATGGAGAGAGAGGAGTTTGAATGAAATACTTTCTTCTTTTCTTGCTTCCTTACACATATATGTAATTAATGTTTACTATATGTAAAGTACTATAATAATAGCACGACATGTCAAGGAACCTGGCTCAAATTGGTTTGCAGTCTGTAGTCTTCAAATGCAACATTTTTCTCTGTTAGATTCCTAAGATTATTGCCACTATAATGTACTAATCATAGAGTGAGACAGAATGGAGGATATATAAACATTCAATCATTATTAAGGGAAAAAATAAGAGTCATGTCTATCATCACAACAATATTTACGAATATTTGATATTTGAACCTCATGATGGTTTTTTTAAATGTTCAGGTAATTTAATTATGAGCATGTATTTTTTCATTTCAAAATTGCCACAAGAGACTTAAGTCAATTCTAAGATTCAATCTAGAGATATTTTGTGGAAAAAAAAAAAAAAAAGAAAAGGAACAATACTTGGCTCAAAGACCATTAAACTTGTTTTATCTTTTTTTTTTTTGAGATGGAGTCTCTCTCTGTCGCCCAGGCTGGAGTGCAGTGGCGCGATCTCAGCTCACTGCAACGTCCACCTCCCGGGTTCACGCCATTCTCCTGCCTCAGCCTCCTGAGTAGCTGGGACTACAGGCGCCCGGCACCGCGCCCGGCTAATTTTTTGTATTTTTAGTAGAGATGAGGTTTCACCATGTTAGCCAGGATGGTCTTGATCTCCTGACCTCGTGATCCATCCACCTTGGCCTTCCAAAGTGCTGGGATTACAGGCCTGAGCCACCGCGCCCAGCCAAAGGCATTAAACTTTTGACTGACAACTGAGAGACTGAGAAGCTAGTTTCTCAGAATATTTAATTCCATTTGAATTTATAATAATGTAATTATAATACATTTTATCAGAAATGCTAATTTCTTCCTAAAAGATTGTTAATTTCATCACATAAAAGTTATGTCCCAGGTCAAGTCTATGACGACTGTTCTTGCATTTTTGTTTTTGGAAACAGAGTCTCCCTCTGTCTCCCAGACTGGAGTCCAGCTGGGCGATCATCGTTCACTGTAGCCTCAGCCTCCTGGGCTCAGTGATCCTCCCACCTCAGCCTTCCGAGTAGCTAGGACTGCAGGCCTGTGCCAAGACAACCAGATAATTATTTTTTGTAGACACAGGGTCTCACTATGTTGCCCAGGCTTGTCTTCAACTCCTGGCTTTCAAGAATTCCTCCTACCTCAGTCTCCCAAATAGCTGGAACTGGGGGTGCACACCACCAAGCCTGGATACTTTTTTTATTATTTGTACAAACAGAGGTTTCACTATGTTGCCCAGGCTGGTCTCCAACTCCTGGGCTCAAGTGATCCTCCTGCCTCCCCAAGTGCTGGAATACACAGGTGAGCCACAGCACTGGCCTACAGCCTGGTTAATTAAAGGTGTAAATTGCTATGTTTAGATACTAGAATGAGCTACTTGTTTTTTTCTTCCAGAGACAGGGTCTTGCTTTCTTGCTCAGGCTGGAGTGCAAGAGCTATTCCCAGGTGTGCACTGCGTACCTGCCAGAACTCCTGAGCTCAAGCAATCCTCCCACCTCTGCCTCCCAGATAGCTGAAACTACAGGTGTGTGCAACCAGACTGGCTTTACGGTCTTGTTTAAAGCCAAGGAAAAATATCTGATGACTTTTTAAGATATTTTCTTGCTGTGTCAGAAATAGCTTTTGTTCTGAAAGATTTCTGAAGGACAGAAGACTTAGACGATTTCATTTAGCATTGTGCATTAGGCTGTTTGTGAACCACTCCAGATTGGCTTGGCTGCACCTCCTTTAGCAGCCTGGTTGCCATCATAGCAACAGAGGCCATTTCTGGGGTCTTGAAGCACACTCATTGTTGCTGCTACCTCCTCCCGTCATAGGACAAGGAACCCTAACACGTGAAGCTGACTGACCAGGAGAGACCCTCGTGCTTGCCCACCAGCCTAAACAGACCAAGAGCCAGAGAGGCTCGGGCTTCTCTAGTAACGGCTTGCAAGGGCCAGGTGATACAACCAGAACTGCAGGAAGTTCCATGGAGTGCGGTTCCACCATTGGGAAACCAGAGATGTTGTGGAGTTGAGATCAGCTCAGAAACATGCTCCATTTTGAGAGTGTCGCTTGAGCCTGGGAGTTTGAGGTTGCAGTGAGCTATGATTGCATCATGCATTTCATCCTGGGCAAAAGAGTGAGACCCTGTCTCAAAAAAAAGAGAGAGAGAGAGAGATAAAAGGTGAAAGAAAGAAAAAAAGAAAGAAAGGGAAAAAAACTTCCATTTATAAGGTTGATGCAAAAGTAATTACAGTTTTGCCCTTACTTTCAATGACAAAAACCGCAGTTACTCTTGCACCAACCTAATAATCCTAATATTTCCTCTCTCCTTCTCCTCACTTCTACTTCCCTAAGATTGCACAAACTGCCCCTACAACCCCACCCCTTTTACCTCAGGCTCTGTTTTCAGGGAATTTGTGTTAAGACAAATGGTAGCCACTTTTTAATTGGCAGTAAAAATTTTAAGTTACTGATCGTTTCAGGCTAGCTTCTCCACCCACCACATTTTTGAAGTTATTTTTCCCTTCTCAAGTGGTGTAAATTCAAACTACTATGTTTAGTTAACAGTTGCCATTTTTTCCAATCTTTGCATTCTATCTTTATTAAATTTAGCCAAATATAACGTTTCTAGAATATGTTGATTATCACAGCATTCAACAGATAATATGAGAAATAATGTAAAATCTGTTATAAACATTGAAAATAATTCATATATGTCTACAATGGAGTAATTACACAATGGAGTAATATGCAGCTGTTAAAAGGAAGGAGATTTATATATAATGACATGGAGTGATGACCAAAATATATTGTTAAGTTAAAAAAGCAAAATGCAGAACAATATTTGGTGGCAAAGAAATGAAGGGAAATAAAGTATAGTCAGGGCCAGGCATGGTGGCTCACAACTGTAATCTCAACATTCTGGGAGGCCAAGGTGGGAGGATTGCTTGAGCCCAGGAGTTGGAGACCAGTCTGGGCAACATAGTGAGACCCCATCCCAAAAAATAAAAATAACAAATAAAAAAAGTGTAGTAGTAATCTTACCAATAGTAGCAATATTATTACTATTATTTTAAATCTATTATAGAGGAAAAAAGATTTCTCACCCATCTTTAGGTTCATGGATGACATCCATATACCAATAGACAGATTAACAAGAGAAAAGCACACAAATTTATTTAATGCAAGTTTACACAACACAGGAGCCTTCTGAAATGAAGACCCAAACAAACAGGGAAATCTGTATTTTTATGCTAAGCTTGATGAAGAAAAGTAGATAATTGTGAAGAAACGTGATTGGAGGACAAAAGGGTCTGATCTAATGGTAAGAAACTGGGGAGAACTTAGCAAGACCTGTTTATTATTCTTGGCATCTCCGTGTCTTCAGGGATAATGATATTCCTTTTTACAGGGTATAGGAAACTTATCTCTGGAGTTGAGGTCTTATGACCTACTTTAGAGGGAAGTCAGTTAGATTTTATGACCTGCTTTAAGGGAGAAGGGTTGAGAGGAAGATGGGAAGATGAGAATGACTTTCCTGCTTCTGCTGTTTTCTCAAATACCAAGGTGCCATACTTGGGGGTAGCATATTCTGAACCCCATTATTATTATAGGCATATCTTAGGTTAAAACTGGTGAGTAATTATGCTAATGCCATTGGAAACCAAACTTTTCAGTGTGAGAGAAAATAGACGTAAATATCAAATCAAATAAATCAAGTAAAAATTATGTGATCTTAAATTTGACTTGGAAATAAAAACTTATGGCTTTTATTTGTTTAAAAAAAGCTCCGTCAACCAAAAAGACCTAGAAGCAATGACAACTCAATAGCAATGAGCAGCCCTACTGCTCCAATTTTGGTCTCTTAACACCATTTTCCACTAAAAAGAAAGAGCTAAACATCCGTGGAGAAATGGTGGATTCCAGATTCCAGGTCTGGAGTATGAACTCGACAAATGAGCCTGGGATATCTTTCTTGCCAGAAAGCAAGGAAGTTATCAAGAAAGATGTCCTAGGCTCATCTTAAGCCAACTGGAGTCCTGTTAAAAGGATATGAAAGCTAACCTGAAAGGGACTCACATTGGTTGAAGACTGGGCAATTTGAGTAGCAAAAATAAGAATGACTGCAATGACACATGGAATGTATATAATCTGTAACTTTACAGTAATTCTAAACAAAAGTGTCCACTTGAAGGTTTCCAGTTTACAAACTTATTACTCTGAATATTAATAAAGGAGAAAAATCAAGTATTTTTTGTATTTTGTATTTTCTACAAAAATTATTTTTTCAAGATTATCAAAGACTTAATGAGGGGAAATTTCTTCCTTATGGGAGAATTCCAGCTAATAAATGCAAAAGAAGGAATAGAAATACAAACATCACTATCATGGAATCTCTAATGCAATGATCTAAGAAAGCAATCATTAATGGATGCTAAAATCATTAGGTGGAGGATTGATGAGGAACTTTGCAATGAAGGGGTCAGGCTGACACCATCTGAGCCCACTGATCAATCTTAGCTTCACTAAATTTGGGACATCCAGATATTATATGTCTCCTGTTATGATGGAACGGGACATACAGCACCACTTGTGATGTAACTAAAGAAAACAATTAAACCTGAATCTAATAAAGTTTCTAGCTCTAAACCAAATTACAAGAAACACGGAGGACACAGAAATTAAATATCACAGGAATCAAATAGGCAAATCAGGAAGGACAAAAATCTCTAAGAGATTTCTCTAACAAATCTATGGCATTAAATAAGAAGAAAATGAAGAGAATTTGAAAGACTTAAGGGCCAGGCCCAGCGGCTCACACCTGTAATCCCAATACTTTGAGAGGTCGAAGTGGGACAATTGCTTGATCTAGGAGTTCAAGAACAGCCTGGGTAACATAGTGAGACCCCATCTCCACAAAAACTGAAAAAATTAGCCAGGTGTGGTGGCACGCACCTGTGGTCCTAGCAACTGGGAAGGCTGAGGTGGGAGGATTGCTTGAGTTCAGGAGGTCAAGGCTGCAATGAGCCGTGGTTGTGCCACAGCACTTCAGACTGGCTGACAGAGCAAGATGTGTCTCTCTCAAAAAAAAAAAAAAAAAAAAAAAACCGATAACAAACAAATGCAATATATAGATATGGTTTGGCTCCTGATTTGAACAAATTAACTGTAAAATGACATTCCTGAAAGAAGTATTGAAATTCAAATATGGTATTAGATGGTTTTAAGAATTTATTTTTAATTTTGCATGATGATTATGTTTTAAAAAGAATCCTGCCATTAGAGATGCATACTAAAGTATTTATAGGTAGAATGGCATAATTTCCAGGCTTCCTTTAAAATACTGCAGACATATATTCTGGGGATAG